TTGTTTTAATATTGCTTTAATTGTTTTTAATTTGCTTTAGGTTTTGTGTTGTTATGTTGTGTATTGAGGCCTTGGCCTTTGTAAGCCGCATCGAGTCCTTCGGGAGATGCTAGCGGGGTACAAATAAAGTTAATAATAATAATAATAATAATAATGAGTCCCCTTCGGGGTGGGAAGGCCGGAATCAGATATTTATGTATTTATCGTGTCAGAAGCAAACCAAGGGTACAGTTGTAATGTATTTAAAAACACAAAGGGCGGATTCCAACTAACAAAGGTCAAACATTCAATGCCTTGACAAGAGCATAAATGCAAATACAAGTACAGTACCAACCCGACCAAGTCCTAAAATAAAGCAGCATCCACATAAATTGACATCTATATCTACAAAATAAACCAACATCTATATATATATAAATGCTCTGTGCATAATGAGTACCCTAAAAACAAAAGAACCAATGAACAGAATCACACCAAATTTGGCAACAAAATGTCTCACAACAGAAGGAGTGACCATCACTCAAAAATTATGATTTTGTCATTTGGGAGTTGTAATTGCTGGGATTTATAGTTCACCTATAATCAAAGAGCATTTTGAACTCCACCAATAGTGGAATTGAACCACACTTGGCACAAAGAACTCCCATGACAGCAGAAAATACTGGAAGGGTTTGGTGGGCATTGACCTTGAGTTTTGGAGTTGTAGTTCACCTACATCCAGAGAGCACTGTGGACTAACAATGATGGATCTGGACCAAACTTGGCACAAGCACTCAATATGCCCAAATATGAACACAGATGGAGTTTGGGGGAAATAGAGCTTGACATTTGGGATTTGTAGTCACTGGGATTCACAGTTCACCTACAATCAAAGAGCATTCTGAACCCCACCAACAACAGAATCGGGGCAAACTTCCCACACAGAACCCCCATGACCAACAGAAAATACTTAAGGCCATCCAGTCCAACTCCCTTCACCAGGGCAAAAAAACGTAATCAAAGCCCTCCTGACAAAGAGCCATCCAGCCATAGATATAGATAGATAGATATGATTCACACACAAAGAGATATAGTATCATAGATTTGAAAGGGACCCTTAAAGGACAATATGTTGCATGTTCCAGGGTGGGCAAACCAGGCGCTCTCCACATCAACACTGACAAAGAAACAGCGAGAAATACTGTTTACCCACATATATTAGAAATTACATATATTAGAAACCAACACTTTCTCATTACTTTATTTTTGAGTTCAACAGATTGGGCCACAGCAACGCGTGGCAGGGGACAGCTAGTCTATTCATAAAGTTGTGGATCAGAAGCACTCCTTTCAAATCCTGACAAAAGAGGAAAAGGAAGCCCTAAACCATGGAACAAAACCTGGGAGGATTTCCCTTTGAGTGGCCAAGCCTCCCCTCCCTCCAACCCACTCTCACTCTCCAGCGAGGTAATCTAAGGTCAGGCAAGAACAGCGTGTTCTTTCGCGACGCATGCGCAACACACCCCTCGGGGCGGCTCCGGCGGCGCATGCGCGGAGCAACCCCCACCTCCCTCTCCTCCCCGCCCGCCACTTTTGACGAAGAAGGGGAATCACCATTTACCCCCGCGTTGGAGTATGACGCCACTGCGCATGCTCGGCGGCGGCCAGGGAAACACAAGGAGGGCTTCGTTGCGGTTTGTCCCTCAAGGAAGTGACGCATGCGCAGTACGGCTTCTCCGAGCTTGGCGGCTGCTACTGCTGCTGTTTTGCCGGTAAACTCGAGGGTGGCGCATGCGCGGTGCAGCCGAAGGCAATTTCACCTCCACCCCCCTCCTTCCACAGGCCTGGTGGTTGTTACCATCGGAAAAGGGAGAGGCGAAACCATTTGCTCGGCGAAAGCGGGGGGAGTCGGCTGAAGAGGATGAAGAGCGCGAGACGCGACTGAGGCAGTAAGGAGGGTGGGGGCCGTGGCCTCGCTGAGGGAGAAGGCGCTGTGTGTGTTGAGGCGGTTCAGGGGCCCTGAGGTAAACTTTGACCCGAGGGACGGGGTTTCATAACGGAGACCGAGGGCGGAGAGGGAGGAGGAGGAGGCCTGCCCGTGCCTTCCCTCTCGGTGGCAGCCTGCCTGCCTGCCTGCCTGCCTGGGCGGCAATGAAGGATCCCGAAGGTCTCTCGAAATTGAGGCACCCTGAACGAGGGCGGTGGGCTTGGCAGCTCCTCATTGACATGCTGTCAGTGCAGGTAAGGAGGGATGCCCTTCTTGTTCCCCCTTGTGAGGGAATCCAGGGCATTGGATCTGCCAGAAGATCCTTATTTATACGCAAATCCACTGCTTATTTACTAGCAGTCCATTCCCGCCAACACACACTTTGGCCCCTTCCACACAGCTGAATAAAATCCCACATTTTCTGCTTTGAATTGGAATATATGGCAATGTGGACTCAGGGCCCTTCCACACAGCCCTATATCCCAGACTATCAAGGCAGAAAATCCCACTTTAAACTGGCTTATCTGAGTCCACACTCAAATAATGTGGGATTGCCTGCCTTGATTTTCTGAGACATCGGACTGTGTGGAAGGGCCCCCAGATAACTCAGTTCAAAGCGTATAAATATAACTACTGAAGCACAATATGGGTGAGGGAGCAGAAGGGAAGGGGAAACAGGGTAAAAACATACAATGGATCTTCCCTTCTGCTCCCTCACCCATATTGTGCTTCAGTAGTTATGTTTATATTTTTAATGTACCAAACATACCAAGTTTGTATGAAAATGTGACTCTATTTCCTGTGTTGGTCAATGACCGAAATAAATGATTTGATTTGATTCAAAGCATAAAATGTGGGAGTTTCTACCTTGATATGCTGAGTTACATGGCTCTATGGAAGAGCCCTAAAAATGCCTCAAATCTTCGACCTCTTTCTGAGTCTGACTTGCTGATTCCCAAAATTACAACGCCCTGTCTACATTGGCGAGATTGGTGGGGATGGGGGAGAGGGCCTTCTCGGTGGTGGCCCCCCGACTCTGGAACTCACTCCCCAAGGACATCAGACATGCCCCAACCCTGGCAGTCTTTAGGTTGTTGTTGTTCATTTGTTCAGTCGTCTCCGACTCTTCGTGACCTCATGGACCAGCCCACGCCAGAGCTCCCTGTCGGCCGTCACCACCCCAGCTCCTTCAAGGTCAGTCCAGTCACTTCAAGGATGCCATCCATCCATCTTGCCCTTGGTCGGCCCCTCTTCCTTTTGCCTTCCACTTTCCCCAACATAATTGTCTTCTCTAGGCTTTGCTGTCTCCTCATGATGTGGCCCAACTCTGGCAGTCTTTAGGAAGAGCCTGAAAAGGTGGTTGTTCCAGTGTGCCTTCCCAGAATAAGGAAAACTCTCAGCAATATGCCCTCAAATGCACTTTACCACAGATTTAGGACTGACTGTGGTTCCCTCATCTCTCTTTGAAAACCCTATACCAGTTATATCCTACCTTGTTCATGCCCAGTGTTGTTGTTGTTTTTTATTTATTTTAAACTATTACATTTGGCCTGGCCATAGGTTTTTACATGCTTGTTGTGTGTTATGGTTTGTTGTTTATGTGATTTATATTAATTGTATTGTATTGACTGTTTTTGTTATTGCTTTTGTTTATTGATATACTGGGGGCTTGGCCTCATGTAAGCCACACCGAGTCCCTTGGGGAGATGGTAGCGGGGTATAAATAAAGTTTTATTATGATTATTTATTACATTGCCGTATACTAATCGGATTATAAAAGCAGATCATCTAAATTATCTGCTCTGAACTGGATTATCTGAGGGCGCTTCCACACAACCATATAACTCCAGAATATCAAGGCCGATAACCCATATTATCTGCTTTGGATTATCTGAGGGCCTTTCCACACAGCTATATAACCCCAGAATATCAAGGGCGATAATCCACAATATCTGCTTTGAACTGGATTATATGAGGGCCCTTCCACACAGCCATATAACCCCAGATAATCAAGGCCGACAATCCACAATATCTTCTTTGAACTGGATTATATGAGGGCTCTTCCACACAGCCATATAACCCCAGAATATCAAGGCTGATAATCCACAATATTTGCTTTGAACTGGATTATATAAATCCCTACAGCCATATAATCCAGTTCAGTGTGGATTTTGTACAACTGTGTGGAAGGGGGCTGAGTCCTCACTGTCATATAAACTAGTTCAAAGCAGATAATCTGGATTTTATATGACAGTGTAGAAAGGCCCTGGGAAACTAGATGCTGTCTATCCAATGCAATTTTCTGAATCAGCACCTCAAATAACCCCAGGAACAGGCTTAAAATGTGTTGTTTATTGCAATCAAAGGGTCCTTTACACAGTCATATATAACCCAGAATAACATAGAAGAAAAGTTGCTACCCTGGGGGTCCTAGAAGTATACCATCCCCCCCAATCTCTTCCCCTTCACATTTTTTCTTTTCTTTTTTTTCTCTTCCTCTCCCCCCACCCCCACTTCCTACTTTCTATATCACATTGTTCCCACTCTTTCTTTGTAACCATGTTACCTTTTTCTTAAATGGTCAAAAGCAAGTATTTCACTATGCTCTACTTTCTTGAGAACAACTTTTATTCTCAGTAAAAACAATTGAAAAAAGAATATCAAGTCAGAAAATCCCACAATATCTGCTTTGAACTGGGTTATCTGAGTCCACACTGCCGAATATTCCAGTTCAAAGCAGATAATGTGGGAGTTTATCCAGCTGTGTGGAAAGGGCCAAAGACCATTCTCCATCTTCTCTTTAGTGACAAGGAGGGGATAGGACAAGCATGTTAGGACTGTTACAGGATGCTGAAGTCTATGCAATTTGATTCTTGACCATGGGCCCTTCCACACATACATATAACCCAGAATATCAAGGCAGACAATCCAGAATATCTGGTTTGAACTGGGTTATCTGAATCCACATTGCCATATAATCCAGTCCAAATCAGATAATGTGGGATTTTATACAGCTGTGTGGAATGGGCCCATGTTATCCTCTTCCTGTAATATTATAGGCTGGGTAACCTTTTTATCGGAAATGCTTGGCATCATAAGTGTTTTGAATCCCCCCCCCCCAGCTTGATTTTGGAATATCTGCCTTTTCATATGCATGCATAATGTGTTATCCTAGAGATGGGATCTAAATCTCAACACAAAAATTAATTTATGTTTCATATGTAATCTTATTTTATCCACAATATTTGTAATCCTTTTGTGCGTGAAGCAAAGTTTGTGGACGCTGAACCACCAAAGGAGATAATTGTGAATTTTGGAGTCTTTCAGATTTTGGAATTGTAGATAAGGGATGCCCAACCGGTATTTGTGGGTGTCTAATTTGTATAAAGTGGAATGCTTCCTGCTTCTCTAGCATTGTGCTTCTTTCCATTATTTTTCTAAATAATGCTCAAGAAAAGGTTCAAAATTAGAAACAAATCTTGTTCAATTCAGAGATTTCTTATCAAGATTCAGGCCAAATACAGGCATTCCCTGAGTTGCAAACATCCAACTTACAAGTTACTCATAATTAAGAATGGGACTGAAACAACAGGAAGTGAGAGAAATGTACCCCTCTGAATAAGAAATTCACTCCTGAAAGAGCTATCATGGAGAAAAGGGGTTTCCACTGTAGGTTTCTTACCAATCCTTGTTTTCACAACAAACCATTTCCCCCCCAAATCCAAATAGTTTGGGATCCATTTACTAAAATCTGTTAACAGTCATTGTATAAAGCACTGAGTGGGCAGGACAAATTATAGCTCTGCCTTGTTTTGTATATAGTGTTCTGTAAATGATTCTTCTTGCCTCGGGTGTATATATCATGGTTTATTTGTAGACTTAGGGTTGATATCTTGTTGCTCTCCATTTAATTTCAAAAGCCTTTTGCAAATGTACAGATTCTGTCCCTGAGCGAAAGGAAGGAAGATAGAGAAAAGGGGGAAGGATCACCTGCTTTAAGGTTTATCCCCCACCCACCCATCCTTTTTGGTCTTTCTCGTCAACAGTTTATTACTAAGGAAATGTAAACCTTAACAGAAGAAAGGATTGCCCACTGATTTGTCTACTTTTGAATTTGGAAAAAATTCTTGAATATGAAATAAAAATTGAGTCTGTTTTAGCTTCAAAACCTGAAACCTCTTTAGAGCTTTAACTATGTGTGGGTACAGTGAAAGTGGATACTTTGGGTGTTTTGTACACACCATTATATCGTTTTGGAAGAATCTGTCTGCGTCAACTGGCAGCAGTGTAATGTTGATAATACTTCCTCATGGCATGTGATGTGAGTGGGCACAGTGATGATTCCATTTTGTTGGGATATGTTACAATGTATTAACTTGTTAGAAAATTTATAGTTGTGAATATTAGTTTTACATTTTATTCCTGAGATGCAGAATTTAACTGAGAGTCAGTGTTGTTGGATTATGGATTTTTTTAGTATTGCAAAAAGAGTTATACTTCTGAAAGAAACCTTCATCAGGCACTCAGTGGTCAGAGACCCTACTGCTTTAGTTATGCATGAATGGGTATTTTATAGATGTCATCTTCAGAAAATGTATTTTTGAAATATAATTGGCTCATATCAGTATACAGTATATACTTGTTCCTTGATCATATTCCATATGTATTATTTCCTTTCCCCCTTCTCATTCTTTTCTGTTTCTTTGTTTTGTAGTCCTACTTTCAAAAAATCCAGTTGAAATAATTTTACATTTTAAGAAACTGGCAGTTCCACCTAAAGAACAGTATATATGCACTGCAGCTTAGTCTGTCCTACTGTGATACCCAGTTGCATAGACTGGTTCACTTTTTGTGGGCTTTTCTGGCTTAATTGCATTGCTGTCCAATATACTACAGTGCTTATGTTTATTATATTGGTGCTCCACTGTCAGAAGGCTAAAATCAGTATTTATATCCCAGGTTTGCAGGAACTTTAGTTTAAAATAACTGGCATAGCCTTTCTCAACATTTATATTTTCACCCATTGGTACTATTATATTATCTGGGTGGAGGCCAAAAGGGGACGCTAGACAGAGAAGGATAGTCCATTTCCGGGGGGGGGGGGGGGGTGTTGCCGAAGGAAAACAATTTCTCCTGTTTTCACTGGTTACTTCCCCTTCACACTTTCCACTTCATGAACGAGGGTTGATTCCACTGTGGTGACATGGGTGGGGGGAATGGGACTATCCTTCTCTGTCTAGTGCCTCCTTTTGGC